GGTTGAAACGAGCTAGAAATGGCTGAGACTGAGCAGATATCTGCCGTGAAGATGAGGATGACGAGAGAACAACTCGGTGACATCGCCTCTCGCTCGTTTCAACTGATTACGAAAGACTCGCGCGGTGCTGGCCATGTACACAAATGTACCAGTGAAAATACCCATTCATCAGGGAAAATACCCATTGTGCTACGATGGCTTCGTTCCGATTGGTTTTTTCTCTAGCGGAGGGATATTTCCAGTCAATGTATCTCTAGTCTATGGCTGGGTAGTTTGTTTCGAGACATCATTTCTCTACTTCCGTTGTGTCCGATACTGAGCGAAACATCCTCGAAAACTGCCCCTGTTTTTGTCGTTGTGGTTCAATAATGTCCCCAGCTAAGTGGTGTTGCCATCCAACACGTCACGAGGGTGCTCGTGGGATGGGCCCAGAAGGTCCTGACAAGCATCGGAAAGGAAAATACCGCGTATCGTCGAAACTCGCGTCGCACATGAACTGCAGTTACTCAACGAATGATTCAGGAGGGTTAATTGATGTGGCCTCGGATTTACTTTGCACAACCTGTTTCAACACGGAGATGAGCCGTATGAACGGAGAAGCATCGCCAAACAGGATGGACACAGATCACGGCTAGTTATCCACGATGCGGCCTGCCGCGATCGCCGCATGTGCTCGAATATCGAATCAAATTGAGATGGATCATTCGGATTTTGACGTTTCTTCACAATACGATTCTACCGATGATATGGATGATGAAGCGGTTGGAACAGAAGCGAGCGAAAGGCGAAGAGAGTCCATCTCTCTCCTGAATGGTGTTTCCGACCTATTAGGTGTCAAACGTATCGAAGACGTTCGCAATCGAAATATACTCCGTACTCAAACGGACAAAGCTGTTTTAGCTATTCGTCGGCTAGCCGAGAACACTTTGGACAGTGGTGATCGAGAAGCCCCGCAAGACTGGTTGACGGCAGAGTACACTTTGGATGAGGCTGATGAATTAATTAAGGGTTTCAAGCATCTCGTTGATTCCAGTGATTATACGGAACAAATTCGACTCCTTACATTGGCTCCGTCTGGATGGGGAAGAGCCAAGATACAATTGTCTTTCAACTGTTCGCAGCGACAAGCTCGGTATGCTGTCCATCTGCGCGATAGCGGACGCAAACTGCACTGCCCTGTTGATCTTCGTGGCAACATGCCATTTGATCCTCAGATCGAAAAGCAAATTTTCGAATTTTACCATGACGATCTGATCAGTCGAGTGAGAATTATTCGATTTGAATTCTAAACTAACTATCCCAATGTGAAACACATAAACTATCTTAGTGATGGAGTCGGATCGCACTTCAAAAACAACGAAAACATTTTAAATTTCACCTACCATGAAGTTGATTTCGGTCTACCAGCCAGTTGGACTTTCTCGGCAACATCTCACGAAAAAGGTCCTACAGATGGAATCGGCCCAGTCATCAAGTCGCGTGCTACTCGTCATTTGCTCCGCTTGCAGAAAGAACGAATGCTTCTCTCCCCTTGGGAGTTCTACGATTTCATTTACCGAGCTACTGATTACCAGACGATGAAAGGTGATCTCGAACCTAACCGTCCGATCGATGTTTTCTACGCTGCATCTGAAGAAGTCGAGCGGCTCCATCGCGAGGTCCTGTTGGATCGTTGGTCAATCCTCCCAAAGCAATGGATCAAAGGCATGCAGAAAATGCATCAGTTCGAATCAACTCGTGTACAACATATTGAATGTCGTGAGACATCATTTTCCGCGGATAACCTGGAGTTTCTCATCTCTCGATAGAGTCCTATCTTAAAAATACTTTCCTGCTGTTTCTTGTTGATATTGATCCTTCAAAACGTTGCCTTCACGTTTCTCTTCATCCATCGAATCAATGAACGCATACGTGATGAATAAGAATTTGAATCCATTGAACTAGGTGAGAGGCGATGTCACCGAGTTGTTCTCTCGTCATCCTCATCTTCACGGCAGATATCTGCTCAGTCTCAGCCATTTCTAGCTCGTTTCAACA